GAAGGGTCAGATTTTAGGCTGTGTTAAAGGCTGGGGCCATTGAATAGCATGAAAATCCTTTCATGTGGCTGGGGGGATCCTCTGGAGACAGGCAGAGGCCAGCCTTGGAGGAAAGACTGGGAGCAAGGTGAGGACAGGAATCCAGCCTGTCTGAGGCACAGGATAAGGTTTCGCTTCTGGGGTTTGGTTCATTTGCTAAAGCAAACAAAACCTTGGTTTTGACTTTGCTCATTTGTTTCTCTTTTTTTTTTTTTTCTTTTTCTCCTGGAAATGTATTCCTTCATCAAGAGGTGCAGGAAGCTTCGCAAAACTCAATTGGCAATGAGACACTCTCAAGCAATTTCATTTCTTCTTTTTGAAAGGTTTCCAGGTGTGGGTTCCAGTCAGCCGAGCACGGGACACCCAGGCTCTCTTACAGGTTTGGTGCCAGGGTTTTAGTCACCAATGTGATTCTCCAATATGCTGTAATGGTGGTTTATTGCTCTATGAAGCAGCGTGTTTTGTTTCAGTGGCATCAGACAGCTTTTTGAGGTTTGAACACGTTTGTTAGAGACTCGGAGGTCTCTGGGTGATGAAGCTTACAGAGGAGCTAGCATCTGTCTTTGGTGCCAGTGTTGGTGTGCCTTGCAGCATGGGTCGTTAGCAGACGATTGTCTCCTTCTGAAACTGGGTGAAGCCTTTAGGCTTTGCCTTGATTTGCCCTGTGTTGGAGGAGTGCTGTAAGGCTCTCTGTCCTCCTGCCCAGAGGTTCACAGTCACCTCAGGTGTGATAGGTTAACAGACACCACAAAAATCATAGAATGGTCGGAGTTGAAAAGGACCACGATGCTCATCTAGTTTCAATCCCTCTGCTGTGTGCAGGGTCATCAACAGCCAGGCCAGGCTGCCCAGGCAAATCATAGAATCAGTAAGGTTGGCAAAGACCTTCAAGGTCACCTAATCCATTTGTCAACTCATCACCATCGTACCCTTGCCAAGAGCTTCATGCTGCATCATTTTGTAGAAGCAGATCTGCCGTGCTCTGAATTCCTCTATCAGAGCCATGGGTGATGGCCGCCAGGAGCTCTGCCCTCTGCTCTCACACATGGAAACCAATCTGCAAGTGATCTGTCACCTAAAGCCACTGCTAATGATAGGCATTAGCATAAGCAAAGCTAATTCACTGACTTCTCTCCAGTGCACCATATAATTGATTTCATCAAATGAAGTCTATGCGATAAAGCTGTGGAAGTGAAGGGAGATCTACAACTCAATTGTAGTTCAGCCACAGATCTATTTATTTTTTATTTTTTGACAGCTTCAGCTTGCTGGGGAGGCCAGAAAGAATGGAGGTTTTACGAGGGTTGATATGCTCTTTATCACTGACATTTCATACCCTGGCTGAAAATGAAATGAAAACGTTGCAGGTATTTTTTGGATTAGTCACGGGAGGGAGAAGTCTGGGTCAAGACAGTTGTCTGGCTATGAAGAGCTTTAGCCCTGCATAAGCCTAAGTGTGCTTTTTATCTGTAAGTTTTGTTGTTGCTCCGCAGAATGCAGAATTGGGGAGAGATGAATGTGTATTCATTCAAACTGACAGGCATTCAGCTTTTGGTGATTCTTATTCTCTTTAGCAAGGTCATTGCAAGTCAAGGGTAGCTCTACACTTGGGCTGTGCTGGTGTACGTAGCAATAGTGGGCTGGTTTCCAGCAGTCAGAAATGGAGAACTGACCTTTAAATGTGCCTTCCAGCTCAAGTGATTCCATGGTTCTATGAACTGCCATGGTCCTGTCCCAGCTTTTTCCCATGACTTCAGCAAGTCTCTCCACGATTGAGGATAGTAGGTTCAGCCTGTCATTGAGCTGGTGACCCCAGTATGTTCCAGCTGGCCTGTCTTTCCTGGGTGCTCATGTTTTCCTAGCGTCACTCCCTACTGAGCCAACCACACCACTGTACACAGTGGTTTTATATTTCTCTCCATGCAGAGCGATTTATGAGGTTGTGATATTAGCACTCGACTGTGTATTTACCTTCTCTTTTTTACTGCTGCCTGCAGCTCTAGAGAAAAGCTGAAAACGTTACTGAAAGAGAGCTGATCCAACTCCTGTCTGTGCTGTGATCCTATGGGAATGTGGTGGTCACCCAGGATGTATTCCGTACCAGGACGTCCTTGCACTGAGCTTCTAAGGGAAGCGCTGTAAGGTGGTGGCAATTGGCAAAAGGGATCAGTGCATCCCAGTGCATCAGTGGGAGCTGCTAACATGCAGCTTGGCAAAAGCAAGCTTTAAGGATGGATCTGTAAATGGAGAAGGCATCAGGGTGCAAGGTAATGCTTGCTGTCTGGGTAGAGGAAAGGAAAACTGGGGGAGGGGGGAAGTATCTTCAGAGAAGCAACAGTAATCCATGACAAACCAGCTGAGAAATAGAAGCAATAAACATAGTGAACTTTGAACAGACACTGCAATCTCTTTTTTTTTTTTTCTTATTTTTTTCCTGTCCGCTGCTCTGTTTCCTATTCACGATAAACACCATGTCCAGGAGCAAAAAGGAGAAATTAGACCACATCTTCTGGAATGCTTGTGTAACTGGAGGAATGATGGATACTCTCTATGAATGGCCACCGTGCAGAAATAGCTTGTGCAATACATGCTGTGGGAGTACAGCCCATCCAAAATATACTAGTTAGCTTTTTTTTTTCTATAGATGGAACTGTTTTCCCTTGGGGTGCCTTTTTAAGAATGGCTTAGATCTATCCAATAGATATGTCTGCTGCAGCTTTTGAAGGCTTCGTGGTGAATCTTTTGGGAAACTTTGATTCTCTTTTGTTCAGTTGCTGCTGATTTTCATGGCTGCAGTGGGTGCAGGATTGGTTTAGGCCAAGCAATAGACCTTAGGCTCTTCAGAGAGAGATGTTAAGGGAGTGATCAAGTGAGAACTGGTGTCTCCTATCACTGATCTTGTCAGCCTCATGGCTTCCATGAAGTTGTATGAGATGTGACTGCATCATACAGATTGCTTGGGTGCTAGCTTATGTCCAGGTAAGTTGAAAGTGCCAGAAAAAGCAGTTTTGTGGGTTTGCTAGCTTTTAAGTAGTCATGTCACTATGATCTTGTTATGTCAAGGTTGCTCCCTTCTGAAAGGAGCTGAGATCACACAGATCAGAGAGGTTCAGAAATTGAAGGAGCAGAAAAACTGAGCACGCCATCCAGAACCCTAAATTTCCCTGTGCGCCATCACCTTATTCTTGAACTGACCTGCAGACTGTGTCCTGCAGAGCTGTGCTTCACCAGCAATCCTTGTCCCTTTTCGCTTTGCTTACACAGCTGGTTTTCAAGTACTCTTGGAAAAACATACATTCAATACAAATATTATCCCTGTACATCCTCCCTCTGTTATTTCTTGTGTGCGGGATCAGCAGTTTGCAGAGCGTACCTCGAATCCCATCAGGGGCCAGAGCTGCCCACTGCCTATGAGAAATATTGCCTTACAAACTCCTTCACCGGGTCGGTCCAAAGAAGTGCAAGTGGTGACTGGGAAAGGTATAGCAGCCCTGGGATGGGTTGTGTTCAGTCAGGCTGTAAAAAAAGGCACCGGGTTCTGAGAGAGGCTTCAGTCCACGGGGAGAGATTGCGAGGTGTGAGGCTGCTGGCTTTGTGCAGGTTATTACACTTCCATTGCTGATTTCTAAATGGAGTCCTGTTGCTGAGAGAGACCAGGTTTGTCTTTACTAAAAACTTAGGGGTGGGTTTTTTCTGTTCCAAGGCATGTATGTAACTTTAGATGGCCATCTCTGTGCCTCATCACCTCTGAGATTTTTCCACTGATATTCACCTTGAGAAGCTACAAAGAGGTAAAAACTACAGTGGCTTGCCGTGTTTTTGCTACAGTGGCTCGCTTTGATATAAATCCTCAGGGTAAAAAACACCTTCCTTTTGCAGCGAAAGCAAAGGCTTGAGGGATCTTTCATGAAACAGGCTTAGTTCCTCTGGAGGACTGACATCCCCATTTTTAAGACCTAATTGCATGAAGTCTCCTGTGATAATTTCTTAGACAGCAAGGGGAAGCTGTTGGAGCCAGCCTCCAGCATCGAGAGGCTCGAGCCCAGCAGGTCGGTGTGGTGGCTCGATAGGGCAACAAAGAGATCCAAAGAACTGAGCAACAGCAGCCCTGTCCTACGTGCTTAGAGCTTTGATTTCTCATCCATTACTAACACAAATTCCTCGGGTTGATCAATATTAAAACGGCTCACTTAAAGGCACGTTTCCTTTGCGACTCGCCTCTATTTTTGTCATGTTCTCGTGATAAAGGAATGCTCTGTAGCATCAAGTTATCACTGCTTGAGAGCGGAGGCAGCTCTCACAAAAAAAAAAGGCATTGGTCTGACACATGTTGTCCAACACTTTGCATTCTGGGCTCAACCAAGGCTGGACTTCCTACCTTCGTGTTGGAGCTGCTGACATACACCTTCCTTCTCAGCTTTGTTCCCCATAAAATGTCACAGCCCTCTGGTTCCACTTGTTGCCACATGGGTTCTTGTTTCCCAAGATGACAGCCATCAAAGGATGGCTGGGCAGCTGCTCAGATCTCCCAGCCATTGGGAGCCTTGTGTGCATTAAAGCTTTCCTGCTCCTCGGTAGTTCAGATGGCTTTGTGTCTGTGAGAGCAGGTAAAAATTTCTCAGGTTCTCCATCTTCTAAACCTTTATTTTTTATTTTTTATTTTTAAAAAGCTACTTCAGTTGGATTTGACAGCCCAAAGCCCACAGAATGCTGGTTTGTAGGATTTCAGCCCCCACGCTTAACCTGACCATCACGGCCCCCTCATAAACCTTAAGTAACAGCAATTTTAAAGCCCTTTGCAGCATTGATTTATACATTTTTCTGCAGTATCAGCATTGCTTTAAAGGACAAAGGTTTTTATAATACAGTTGTAAATTATTTTTCTTAGTGTCTTAAGTGCCTCCTGGGAACGCCTGATCACTTGAGATGCTTCATAATTTATTTCTTCTCATGTTTTTCAGCAAGTGCAATAAAACACTTGTAAATACCCCAGAATGAGGATCGTTACAGATGGCACTGACAAGCACCAGGTTCACGTGGAAGTCCTTGTATCACTGCATGAAGGAAAAAGAAGATAGGAATGATAAGCCTGAAGTTTTCCTGAGCTGTGTGACAGGTGTGAGCAGATGAAGTTTATAAGCATGGTAATTTTGCTTTCTGAATCATCTTCTTGGGGTCCCCACTGGCATCTTTCTTTGCTGCATTTGGGCTCTGGAGGCCAGCTGCTCATGTGAATTGGTTAAAAAAAAAACAGCAACAACAACAAAAAAACAAACCCACAATAACAAAACACCACAGCCAAACCTGTGAAGAGCAATCAGCATCAGTGCTTACATACCCTAATATGTGCCCAGGTGAGAGGTGTTATCGCCCCATTGCTACTCTGAGAAGCAGAAGGATGTTGGGAGTGGGATGGTCCCTACTGGTGGGACTCTCAGCTACAAAAGCAAGTTTTTACTGTGTGAGGTTCGAGTGAGCCATCTGTTTTCTCAAACAGTGCAATTCTTGGCACACACAGTTTTATTTCAGAACTGTACAGTTGGCAGTAAGTGCTTTTGTCCAGATCTGAACCTGGATGGCTGGGGCACGCATGGCTTGTATTCTCTTGAGCCAAGCCATGTTTTGGCTTTCGGTAGTGCTGTTTTACCCTCCTTCTGATGAGTGCCCCATGGGCTGTTTCATGTTGAACTGGTAAATCAGGTCTGAAAGGACATAGAAAGTCTAACTCTGAAGCTTCAGGTGTCACTCAAAAAGCTCAATAAATGCATGAAAGAGATGAAAAGCCTCATTTTTCTTGGGTGCTTCTTGCTGCTGAGGAAGGCTTATGCTATTTCCAGCCATCTCAAACCAAACGTGAATAAATTACATTGTTTTCCATCACTTGAGAGAGTTCTTCTCTCTCCAGCATTGACTTTGCTTAAAGCATTCTCAGCTGATTACTGAGAAGTGTTTAAAGGGAGTTTACTGTGCAAGAGCCTCCAAGCTCAGCAGCTATGTGTAGCAGCTCCCTGAGCTACTGACCACCCGATGCTCTGAATGACAGCATCAGATGTGTATTTTCTCTAAGAGGCCTTTTTGCTTTCCCAGTGCTCTATATCTCTTTCATGTAGTTTTTACCCGTGATGGCCTCAAACACTTGTAGCCACTCAATCTGGCTGTATTCCCCAGTCAAAGTACTGTGCTAATCTGTGTGATTTGTTACAGGGATGTAAATGCTGGTTGAAATACTACGAGTGCGCGTTTTCCTTTGGTGAGAAGGCCAAGAAGATTGCTGATCAGTAAGTAAACATAGAGGAATGGCCTTTATTTCTTGCTTGATGCTGGGATTTCTGGCTAGCTGCACCTCCAGGCACGCTTACAGAATGCCAACAGCCTCTTGTGGTAAGGCAGGGCGTGCTGGTCCTTTGACAAAACAGATCCAGAGGGCTTGAGATATCATCAGCACACCCCGTCTGCTCCTGTTAGCTCATGCAGAACCAGCAGTGGTTGTATTGCTCACGGCATGAAGTGTAAATAGCAGTTGCTGAAGAGCATTGATCTTTGTAGCAGAGGAATTGATCGTGGCATATTGACCTGCCCTGAGCTCCTGGTAAATCACAAAGCGTCATTGATCAGTGCAGTACAGATGTAATAGATGTGTTTTGCTCTGTGTAAACATACAGGGCCTGCTTGTGAGATCAGTTATGAGCCCCGTCCCAGTGACTGCCCTAAACTCATTCTCCTTTTGCTCATGACCTTCCCTGTGTTCTTCATTCAAGAACAATTCTGCAGCAGCTGGTCTTTGGTCCGGATGTTTGCCTGACTGTGGCTGCCTGCCCCTGCTAACCAACCACCTGCCCATGCGAATGCATACCTTGTACCTGAATCCTGAGGGATGGAAATGCCTGCCTAGGAAGCCAGGACAGCCCCTGAAGTGTGCCTAATGTCAGCTTCGTAGACCAATCTTGATGTGTGGGCCTCTTTCCTGAGCAATTAACTGCTTGGTGAGGATCTCACAGGCTTGTTGGAAGTGCCTTTTGACCTTGCTTTCATTCATCTGGCCACTAATAGCTTGTTCAGGGATCCAGAGGGTTTAACCCAACCAGCAGACTGGCAGCTGGCCCGGTTGTGTCCTGTTGCTCACAGCTCAGATTCCTGGCTTCGTGCAGTAATTCATAAATAAATCTCCCTTCTTCCCAGTGCTACTGGAGCCAGCTCTGGGTGTGTGCTGATTACACCGTGGTGGTTGACATCAGTATCTTAACTCTCTTCATTGCAGCCCCCTCAAAAAAGCAAATGTATCTTTTCTTTGTTGTGTCAAGAACGAGGTTAACTCTTGTTGCTGTGTGAGAAACATGACAGGCCCCTGCAAGAAAAAGCAATCAGCTTGGAGCAGCTGCCTTGTTTTCTTTCTTGCTGGGCTGTGTTTCTCAAGATACAACAGCAGTGCCAATGATGCAACGTCTCCCTTGGGAGAGGGTTGGATGAAGCATGCTGGTGGAGCTCCAGCAGAAAGCTTCACCCACAGAGGGTGGGGAGCAGCAGCTGATTTAGACCGAACGATGGCTTAACCTTGCCTTAAAATGAAGCAGCTTTTCCTTTCTTTTTTTTTTTTCCTGTTGGAAAATTGATTTTTTTATTCTGCGAAACCCAACTTTTTATTCCTGCAGTGCTTTTCTCTACCCAAAGGTTGCCTGTTGGAAGGCTCTCCACCAGCTCTATTGGTGGGCCAGGGAATTTTCCAGGGCTAGCTTGACGTTTCCATTAGGCGATGTGAGGCAATTTTCTTTCTGCTTTCTTTTTTAAAGACAGCCAAGCAAAACACCAATTGCTGGTGAGAACTTCAGTACCTGATTTGTCTCTATAAAACTTGCTACAATGTGAGAGGGCTTTTCCAGAGCTATCTGCAACTTACTTTTGAAAGTGCCTTTTCTCTAATGCTGCAAGCAGGAGTTAATAAAATGGCTCAGGAGTCTGGTTCATTTTGGATGCCTAATTGGGTTTTGATTTGTTTCAGCTGAGACTTGTTAAATTTATCCCATGACCCTGTAAATATAATCTGCCTTTTCATCCCTTAAATAGTCGCCATCTCCTTTCAAATGTTATTTTGTGTTTGCCTTTCTGGCTTTCCAGCTTTAAGTACTATAAACTCTGAGGAGCTTGGCTCTCTGCTTTCCGCTCTCCTATGCTGAGGGCTGCAAGGACTTCACTTATCTGTACCAGTAGACTTGAAATCAGCTCCAAATTTATTTCTTGCTTTTCACTTGAAAGCTGTTCAGGTGATGAGCAACTTTTTGGCTATTGAAAGAATGGAAAGAGGCCTCGAGGAATCTGCTTTTTCTCTCTGACAAATGCCAGTGGTATTACGACGGTTGCTTTTATGTTTCTTTCCTGCCTTGTGGAATTCAGTGCCACAGGAAGGTGCTGGTGTGGACCCTCAAAAGCAGAGGTCCTCCAGGAGGAAAGGATGGGGCCATCCTGCCTGGAAAAAAGGCAAAGGTGGAGCAGGTTCTGCGTTAAATCCTGTGCCTTCCTCTCCCATAGCGTGACACCCATCCGCCTCTGCCCTCAGCACACGCTGTGTGCATGACTTCATACTGGCATGGGGATGAAACACCACCAAGAGATATTTTACTTGTGTTTTTAAAGCTCTAGGCTTCAGTATGAATCCATCCGGTAGCACAGGGAAGCTTATAACAGAGCTCATTGCTTTTTCCTTTGACGTTTGCTTGGCTTTCACCGCTCTGCAGGCGTTTCTTATGTGCTTTGGAATGTGATTATTTGTGAAATAGTGTCGTGGGTTGCTTTTTGTGGGTTTTTCTATTTTTTTTTTTTCTTTCTCTCTCCTAGTCTTTAGTGACTACCCCTCCTTGCATTTTGTCTGAAGCGGAGGAATGACTGACTTAACCTGGTGAGGAGAGATGGAATTAGCATGGCTGCAGCTTTACTCTGCAAACTGGTGCACTCAAACAAGAGCTGAACTTCTTCCACATCAAATTCATGATCAGTAATTCTGCCTTGCTTCCCGTTACTTTTTGTAGGTGCTGTCTGTCAAGCCATACTAGAAGGGCTCTGAGTGCTTCACATTGCACTTGATACCCGAGCAGAGAAGGGGCAGGTAGAAGCTAAAAGGGTGCAGGTCCCCTAGGCACCCACCTGTAAAGACACTCCAGGCAGACCAATCCATGCCTTTCTTCTCTCATTCCGGCTCTGGAGGACAGATCTTTACCAGGAGCCTTCTGTCAAACAGCGTTGGATGGCTGAATATTCATGTGCAGCCTGTTTTTGGAGCCAGCGTGAGCAGAGCTGTTGAACTGCTAATGGCAGTTGAAAGTGTTAATTTTCACACTGAGGTAAAACATCCCAAATTTTGGAGATTTCGCTGGAGTCAGGGCCGAAGTTCCCAACAGCTTTAAAGTGTGCATTTGTGAAATGCGGAGTTTGAACACTAAGTCCCTCTTAAAATGCTTTATTTCATCTGAAAATCTCAGACTTGGTGTTGCTTTGTCAAACTCAACTTTTTTTCCCCCTCTTAGAGAGCTTGACTTCCTATTGCAGCTTTGTTTAGTTGAGTTTATGCATTCTTAGCTCTAACATTATACAGTCCGACTGGGAATCGTGTAGTCACAGTGGGAGATAGGAAGGAGCAGAGTAATTTATTCTTTAAACAATGGGATCATCTGCATTTGAGTGCAAGTTAGTTAATAAAAGGGGTTTTAGTGGAATAATAATAATAAGAGGAATTTTGCCTGGGTTTTGCCTGGAAATAGTTGGGGATGGGGAATAGATGGGGAATGTGGCCCTCAAGTTGTGCCACAGAGAGTAGCTTCATCTTCTGTAAGCAGCTACCCTGGTCACTCTTGCATCCTTGATGGATGCATCCTTAGGGAACTCGTGTCACATCCTCTGTGCTGCGATGAACTGGGCTGCTCTGCTTCTTCCCTGGCAAAGCAAAGGGAAGGGTCTGTCTCTGCGTGCTTGGGAGAAGAGTGGAATAGAAACAGACTGGGAAGGCCGGAGGGCTTTGACCAGATCCTAGAACAAAACGGAGTGGATAATTACTGCTGGCAAAAAGACTGAACCGCATGATACTGTTTAACCTGAGATGAGCCCATGCTAGGACAAGCAGCAATTCCAGCTGTGTTTAGAAGCCAAATTAGGTATTGAGTGGTGCCTAGTAGAGATATGCTAGGTGCAGGGAAATTAGTGGTCTGACTCCCCTTAGCATGAGCTGGGGCAGGACTTGACCTTGGACCTGCAGTGAGTACTGTGAGAGTTTCTCCTGGCCTGTAAACCAAGTAACCGAGCGTTATTACGTACACGTGCACACAATAGTGCTTAGAGCCTTTCTGCTGAGGTCTTTCCTTGGGGATCCATATAAAATACTTCTCACAAAAGCTGCCCTGTGCGCAAACAGAGGAAACTCCATCTAGTGACGTAAAAAGAAAAGCCAACAAAACCTTTTCACACGTGTATGTGCATTACCTCTTATCTTACTGCCAGTCTGTTGAAGATATCAGTCCAGCTACGCAGCGCTCACCATATGTGAGACTTAAAGTGCTGCCTGGGAAGCACTTCCAGGCCCTGTTTTGTATTCTGCCATTGCAAGCAAAAATGTCCCCTTTGTCATGTCAGTGAATGAATATTCTTGTTCCCCTTTCTCCTTGGATTTATGTCAACCCTGAGTTTCAACCGAGTTTGATCTCCTTGCTTTATTGTATTGCAAACAGTAGTCAATAGCTCTTCGGCTTGAGATTGCCTGGATTTATTTTCAGGTCAAGTCAACTCTCCTTGACCCACATCTGAACCAAAATACATTCCCAGAAGATTCCCCCCACAGGATATCGGTTCCAAAGACAGAGTGACATTGTAATGAGTTCAAGGTTTCAGTTCAGTACAACAGAGTCCCTGTTGGTGTGGGGAAGGCAAGCAAGCCATCCTTCTTGTCTCAGAGCTGAGACCTCTCCTGGGGCTTTTCAGAGCATATTTTGTCATCCACTGGTTACTGCTCTTCATAGGACAATGCCATTGATTGCATCCCTAGTATTTGCAGTCTCCTGACTGGTCTTGGTTCTGTGCACGTGCGTATTCATGGCTATAATGTGTGTGTGTGGGGAATTTGGTGTGCAGGCTTTAAACAGCTGATGGGTTGCTCTGCATTCATGATTTTCTTTTTAAATTCATTTTTCTTAAAGAGAACAAAAAATGGCATCTCCTTTGGGGAACTGTCTGGCACACAGGCAAAACCAAATGATATTGCATCATAAAGTAAAAACACTGCTTTGAAGAGCTGGGACAAAAATGGAATGAACTCATGAATTTATCCTGGATGATAAATCTTCCTTCAAAAGAAAGCAGCCTTATGTTTAGTACAAAAGACTGTTTATTTCTTCTATGGAAAAAAAAGAAGTGGTGTAATCGGATAGGATTAACTTTCCAAGGGGCCCTGGACAGAAGCTGAAGTATGGGCTGCCTTCTTGTGCTCACATTGGATAATTTGAGCTCTGGAGTAGTCTAAGACCCCTCTGGCTTCCTACAGCATTTGGCTGTGACCAGCTGCCAGCATGACTTGCACCTATAGCCAGCATTAAGAACCCCAGCAACAAGAGTTTCTAGAGGCAAAAGAAATCCAAAGTGCTTGGCTGGTATAAGCAGCTTGTCTCAGCTGGGAACCTGGCCCAGGTGTGGGTAGAAATACAGCCTTATTGGTGTTCTTCATCTCAAGCAGCAGTTAAATACGTTTTTAGCAAATACCAATAATGTACGGCTGACTTAATGTTGCATTAAGAATCTTTGTGGGCTGTGTGTTCTGACTTTGTTGTTTTGACCGTTGGTGGTTGATGTTGCATTCGCCCTTTTAATTTCACCTACTCAATTACCTAGGAACAGTCTTGTGCGTGCTTTTGTCAGCGGGAGCGATGATGCTTCCAATTTCACACCTCAGTGGAATGGATGGGAAAGTTTTGGCTGAGATAGCTGTGTAGGCAAAAGCAAAGAGGAAAGTGAGAGCCCAGTTTGCATGTGTGTGCGCTTTTATTTTTGCTAGAAGTCCCAGGCAATCCGAGTGATAAGCAAGCCCCTTCATTAAACCTTTCTGATGGACCAAGTTGAGTTCCCTGTGCTTGAGCTGGGTAAGGTTCTGACTTGCCCGTGTTGAATTATTGTGTGAGAGCTGTTAAACGGTCATTGTTACTTTGTGTTGGTAAGTTTGGCTGTTTTACCCTTGTTCCTCCAGGTAGAATAATTTTGATAGAATTTGCTTTGATAGAATAATTTGCACGGCAGTTTTTTGCAGGTAAAGGTCGTGGTCATGAACAGTTACTGTATGTTAACTTGTATGCACCTTGAAGACCTTCCCAGAGCTATTATGAGAGCAGCTGTACAGCAGAACAACACTGAACCCGTTTGGGATGACTGGACTCGTGCTTACGGAGCTGTGTGAAGTTGATCTGAGCCAGTCTTGAAAATAGAGGCATGTGAATTGGAGATATTTGGGAGAGCAGCTTTGCTTCTTGGCTAATGCAGGCAATTGCATTTAGGTGCCCGGGGGTGAAAGGAACATCCCTTCCCAGGTATGAGGATCCTATGGTTCCCCCAAGGGAGGTCCTCTAGGTTACAAGAAATTGGTTACAACCAGCGTGGAAAAATTTACCACTGCTGAAAAAGTTTACAGCTTTACTGATAATTTTCCACTAGGTTTTTGATTCACTGGAGTGCCTGGCACCATCTTGTTTCAGTCTTGTGCATCTGATGCAATACAAAATGAAGATACTTGTAGGATTCTGAGAGGGAGCTGTCATCTGGAGAGGAAATGCGCATAGCAGCGGATTCCAGCGTTCTCCATGCTTCAAGCCAACCTGGGGGAAATTGGAACCTGCGTCTCCTATGCAGCTGCCCTAAAGGTAGGGAGAAAGGGAAGATTAGGTCCCATTTGAAAGGAGTGGAAGACCTGTGCAGCTGAAGCAGGGCTATAGTGAGCCCTTATTTTGCAGCTGGCCTTCCAGTTCTACCCAAACCCTGAGAGCCTGGCAATTTCTAGTGCTGAGCCCGGCAGCAGTCAGAGTTCCAAAGGAGCATGCCAGATAATTCCCACCCAACAAACATCAAACCTGTGGAGAACTTAGTTGTGATGCATTCGTTGTCTCACCTGCTGTCAGCGTTTGCTAGCAGGCTAGACAGCATTCATAATGGGCCCAGTAAAAAATTACCCTTTGTGTTCATGTAATATTTCAAGGAACTGTGGCTCAATTGGGGTGACCTTCATTCTCAGCTCCCATGCGTGGGCTTAGGTCCAGTAACTCCAGTCAGGCTCTGCTGACTTTCGGCAGCTGGGACTTGGGCCTTGCTTTTTATGTCCCTTATTCTATGCTCATGTAGTCAGTTTCCCTTGCCAAGATTATATTTGCTTTCCTTCCTAAAGGACTGCTCTAAATATCATGCTTTAAAACAATGTGTCTTTTCTCCCCACAGAGAACAATATGATATGCCACTGTTGAATTAATATGTCTATGAAAAGTGAATATAATCTCCCCAGTAGATCCCCTTTCCAAAAGATTTATGATTTAATGAATTTTTTATTTCTTACCGGTGTGTAGCATTCAGTCATTTTACACCTAGCAGGAATTTTTCCCAAGGAAGCAAGGCAAGGTGGAGAGGGGGGTTCCACCATCCTGATTCAAATCCTTTTTTTCCCCTCTCTGCTCTGCTGTGCCACTTGTAACACTCATTGCTGCTGCAGATTCTGTCAGAATCTACCCTTAAAATGTGCAGGTTGTGATGCTGGGCTGAGACAGTGCAATATGGAGAGAAGTTTGGAGCAGTGCTTATATAAAAACCAATGCCTCTGAAGTCTTCGTTGCTCTCTGCTCGACTGCTCTAGGCAGGATTTCTTGCTCATAGTCCTACTCTATCTTCCTTGTGGTCGTGGTCCAGTGCATTTTCAAATAAATTGCTATAATGCCTCTGACAGTAGATTATGAAGCCACAAATAACATCCGCAGGTAACACCTTTATTTAGTGGAAGAGGAGTTAAAGCAGAAGTGAGCTGTGAAGAAGAGAGCTGTTACAGATAATTATTAGCTATGTGGGTAATATTCCTAATTAAGCCAGCAATTGATTTCTCTCTCTTAGCCTTGAAAATGGGAATTGATTGCTCTGCTGGCCCTTCCCTTGGCTGCTAGGATGCGTGCCGTACCTATGCTTGGCTTTTGGGAAACTTGCTGGGGTCAGCGGCTGCAGATCCTGCTGGGATGGACAGAAAGTGCTGGCAGGGTGACTGGGCAAGGGGCACTGGCATTAACCTCTCTTATGCTGTGTCTTCAGAGGAGAAAGACAAAGAGCAGCTACAATCCTGGGTGGCCCCATTGATTGAGACGCATGTGAAGCGGTGCGTGCTTTATATTGTCTCCCTGAATCAGCACTGTTCATCATCACTTGTCAAGAGGTAAATGCTACAGGCAGTATCCTCTCTGCCTGGAAAACACCAATCTCCAGCTGCAGGTTCTCACAGGCCTATTGGCATATGGTACCTCGGATGCTGAAGCCTGTGACGTCCCAAGAAGCTCAATGTGAGCGCAGCATCCCAGCCTGTCCCACCCAGCACCACCAGCACGTGTCTGGGTGGGCATTAAATGACTTAATTGTTTTCTGTTGAAGGGGAAGTGAAACTGGACTGTGCCACAGTCACGGCTTGCTGGACATTCCTTGTTTCCTGCCATTTCTCAGAGGTGTCTCCAGATTTCTTACAGAGCGAGGAACGTGACTGGCAGAGGACAGAGAACCTTCATGAAGGAGAGAGGAAGTGAGTGCTGCGTTTCCATCTAGCGGCCCGCTGGCACTGACTCCCAGGACTGCAGGAAGCTTTTTACCTTTGTGCACTTCATGTATCACAGCCTGATTTCCTGCAGGCGCCTGTCTGTTCAGCTATCCCTGGCTTTGTCATCTCAACGTGGGTGTTTGCACTCCTGGCCAGCACATTGTTCTCTGCCTGTGCATCATGCTGCTGCCTTCAGACACGCTCCGTGATGCTGCTTCCGTCTTCTGCTGCTGCATGGATATCCTCTCTTATGCAATGGAGAAATGTTTCCCTTTGTCCCCTTTTGATAGGTGACATGCAATTCTAATGCCCCCCCTCCCAACGCACACACATGTAGTTTGCCATATTGGTTTTCTCTCTCACTCCCCCCTCCCCCCCAAATGTTTCTAACACTTAAAGCTGCCAAATTGCATTTTTTTTTTCTTAATCTATTGACTTAAGTGGGCAGGGCTTGGTGTTAGCTTCCATCTGCCTCACAGTTGGAAAAGGAAGCCTTAAGAGAAAGCGAGGGGGCTTTCAGCTCTCATTTCAGCAGGGAGAGGCTGCAAGGGACGCTGTGGAATCCTGGATTTTCTATTTCTGTCCGTTGCCCCGTTAGTGTAAGCACTAAGAACTTGTGCTTTTGAGGGAAAAGAAAGATACTGCTTTAATTCAGGCTTATTAGGTAGGCAGTTAAAGTAATAACCCAGCTTTCAGCACTGTGTTGTGCCAAATATGCTGGGTCAAGTCATTCAGCTGTGTTTTCTTTTCCTTGACTTTTCTCTCATAGGTATGACAGTTCTCTCTATCTCCACTGGTCAGAGCTCACCCCTATGTGTGTTTATCTTCAGCGCTGAGCACAGCAGAGTGTTGATTTCATGCAAAGCCCTATGCTGCCCACGGACATGGATAGCAGAGGCTTGTGCTGGGAGAATCCTGCTGCTGAAGACAGCCTGCTTGCTGTCACCCTTCAAACCAAAAAGCGCAGCTGTGGAGCTGGAGGCTGGGGCTGCTGGCTTTGTCAAGCAGTTGCCTGATGTTCAGGATTCAGCCTTTAGAGTTTCTCTGCACTGCCTGCAGTCTGGGATGGCAAACTCCAGGTGTCAAGCCGCGTTACAATTGCTGAACAAGTTCTTGCTCGGTTCTCATGGCGTAAATCCACGTCCCAGGAGAGAAGGAAACTTGGATGGGTAAGAACTCATCTTGCTGCATCTGTGCAGGGAGTTCCTGCTTGATGAGCTGCCTCAGAGCTCGCATCTCCTGGAGGCTGTGGTTGGACTGCCTTTTTAACAGTGGTTATAGAGCAGAACTAATCTCACTAAGCAAGTAGCATTGGCCCTGTGCTGATCTTATCTGGGGTGCCCAGCTTTTCTGCAGCTCTGCTCGCTGTGTTGTAGGGGGATGGTTTTGTGTTGTGCAATTCTTTGAGACAGTGTTATTTTGCTTACTGCTCAAGCATTTCATCCCTGAGCACCGAGCAAAATCTGGCTTTCATAATGGAAAGGGAATGGGCTCGTCCCTCCTGCGTGTGGAACGTGTTCCCTGTAAAAGATAGCTGGAGGGAGGACCTGGAAGGGGAGCGAGGGCAGCGAGGGCTTTGCTCCTGCTCATAGCAGATGCAAGAGAGGAGGCTGCCTGCAACTCCTGGACGGCGAGCAGCCGTGTGGTTGCTGATGCTGATGTGTATTTTTGGAGAGGCTGTAGTCCTTGATGTTATTTTCTGGTGCACCAAGTAAAGAAAAACTGCTTGCTTTTTTGACCAAGGGACTCTGGACTTGTGCAACAGTACTTTTTTTTTTTGCTTAGGATTTTCAGAGCCTGATTTAGCCAAGGGCACACACTTATTTTTAAACTGAAGCCTGTCATTGTCTGAACTCATCATACTTCAATTCCGCCAGCATTCGCGGGCTTCAGCGAGCATGCAGAATTTAAGCGAATGCCAAAATGCTTTGCTCATTGACAGCTGCGAAGTTGGGAGGATCTAACTATCCTCATCTGGGGAAGGGAGCGAGGTACGTTTCATCTCACCTGCTCCATCTGTGGGACAGCAAGGGGCTCATCCTTCTGTCCTTCTCCTTCCTGGCACCTAAAACACGGTGGGATAGGCTAACTTCAGTGCATCCTTTCAGCTATGGGAGGGTTCATGTCCACAGCTTAATCATCTCCTCCTTGCTAGCAGAGAAACTGAGGCTGATTAACGCTCTTTGCATGCAGGATGCAAATCTGATGCATCCATGGACTTTGGTGATGTTTGAATGGAAGCTTTTGATTGCCCACGGAAATAAGTTTAAGTATTGTTGGATAAACAAAATGCATACTTTTTAATGGTGCTTCGCTCCCTCGCTGGAGCGTGCCCAGAGAAGGGCAACAGAGTGGTGATGGTCTGCAGCACAAGTCTTATGGGGAGCAGCTGAGGGAACTGGTGTTGTTCAGCATGGAGGAAGACCAGGGGAAACCTCGTTGCTCTCTACAGCTCCCTGATGGGAAGCTGTGGTGAGGAGGCAGTAGCAGCAATTGTATGAGAGGTGATGGCCTCAGGTAGCACCAGGGAAGGTTCGGGTTGGATACCGGGAAGCATTTCTTCTCAACAAGAGCAGTGATGCAGTGGCACAGCTGCCCAGGGAGGTGGCGGGGGACCCTGGGGCTGTTCCGTAACCGTGGGGATGTGGCACTGAGGGATGTGGGCATGGTGGGATGGGCTGGGGTTGGACTGGGTGGTCTTTCAAGTCTTTGCAAGCGGAACGGTTGTGTGGTTCCTTCACAGGGCAGGTGCTTAGATAGCTTTCCTTTAACGAGGAGAGATGCAGCGGGGATTTCAGCTGTAGCAGGCACGACTCTGACACCCTCTCACTTTTCCTTGGCGTTACTTTTTCTCCGCTTTGCGAGGGAGCAGAGGTGAGATTCCCTGCGTGCTGCTGACCGAGGCTCTCTCCACTTGACCCAGCCCGGTGTACGCTGGAGGCATAAGAACAGCCGGGCGAGCCCCCCGAGCTGTCCCGGGCCGGGGGCGGGCGGCGGGGCCGGGCAGGGCCGCCCTCCGGAGGCGGTCTCCCGTTGCCGCTATAAGGGCCGACGGCGGCGGGCGGCGCTCAGTGGCTCGGAGCGGGCGGCGCGCAGGCTGTGAGGTAATCATGGCGGGCGGCCGTGGGGGGAGCCGGGCCGGGGCTGAGGTGGCGGAGTGTCCCGCGATGGCAGGGCTGGCTCTGCGGTATGGGGTGACGCGGCTGTTCCTGGCACGGCTCGGGAGTGCGGAGTGTCGGAGATGGGGCTTGAAGCGGAGCGGGAGGTCGGGCTGTGCTGCCCTGCGTGCCCGCGGAGAGCAAAGCGTGCAGAGCGGGATCTGCCCGCTGAACATCGCTCTGCTCCCCTGGGCTCGGAGCTCGCAGGTGGCAGGGAGACGTGGGCTGTCCGCCTCTCTCCCTCGCTATCCGGCGAGGCTTGAGCCTGTGAACGCAGAGCATCCCATTTCCCTTTGCTGGCTGTAGGGGGAAGCGGCGATCTCTCGCATGCAGCCCCCTGAACTTAGTTGGGGTTGCGCAGGTTCAGATCGCAGCCTGTGCTTTGCAGAACCTCGTGCGTTTCTGCTGGCGGATTAACCCCCGGCTGAGTCTGATCCCAGCTGCTCAGTGGGTCTTGCAGCGTCCCGACCCAACTGAAACCCGTGTCTTCCACTGGAGAAAGTGATGGGGACGTCTCAGGTCTGTGTTGGGATGGTGTTCCCTGTGACAGCTCTTTGGGAGCAGCGCAGATGTCAGCCTTGCCCTTGCGCGGGGCTCTGTGCTGGCAGGCAGAGCTCAGGTTGCTTTGAGTGCGATGAGGCGAGGTGAGAGGACTTAGCCAAACAGGCAGTTAATTTGGTTCGAATCTCAGCCTTGTCTTTCAGCGTGCCGGTGAGATGAAAGACTGGAAGGCTGGATAGGTTTGCAGCAGTGAGCTAGGTGCCCTCACGGGGCCAATTTGGGCCCTGTTTGTGGAGAGATTTGATCTCTCCTGGCTGTGTGCGTGGCCCTCCTCATTGTTAGTGCCACCAGCTTCCCCTTCCAGAGGGACAATAGTGCCTTGAATCTTCTCCTGTAATCTCCCCCCCCCCCCCCCAGCCCCTTATCTCCCTTTTCTTCCTCAGTTTGTCTCTGTGGCAAAGCCTGGCTGTGGTGAGGCAGGATGGGTGAGAGCTTTGGGAAGAGCTGATTATGCAGACAGAGGACTAAGAGGTGCTTTGTGAACCCTTTTCAGAGGCATGAAGTTTCCCCAGCTCAGGTGCCAGTCCCCTGTGGGGACAAGAAGAGGCTGCTTAGTGCAGAAGCACGTCCCAACTCTTCCTTGCTCTGTTGTCTCCTTCATATGTTACAACATTTTAGAACTGATCCTAGAACATCCTAGAGCTGGGTGTTCCCTGTGAGTTTCCATAATGCAGGCTATCTCATAAGTCCCACTAAAACCTTCATCCCATCCAAGAGATCCTTTGGGGAGGTAAGGACATTGAGAGATACAGGTGGTTGAGTAAGTTGTTTCCCCGTGTGCTCTCCTTGGCTTGTTTCAGTCACTTGGTTGTTCAGTGCAAGCTTGCCCTAGGATTGAGAGCAGGAAGCAGAAGGATGCTCTCAGTTACAGAATTTACATCTTAATTGTGGAGAAGAATGAGGCTTCTGGCTATGTTTCAGGACGTTAAAGTGTCTAAAGGATTTTATATCTGAAAGAGGGGGATTGATGAGAGAAATGCAAGCTGAAGCTATCAGCTAACAAGGGCAGCAAGTGAGAAATGCTTTTCTTGACAGATCCTTTACTTACTGTATCCCTTGACAGCTTGCTCAGGCTGTCCGCCTTGTAGTGGCCAGACAGCAGAGTAAGAGAAAGCTACTTGTTGCAATTAAGCTGGGAGGAAGGATGGGCTGCAAAGCCTGCTGGTGTTACTGCTGTGTGTTGGAAGAGATACAGCTGCCGCACAGCCTGTGCTGCAGATGCGGCTCCAGGGCCTTCAGAGCTCTGCAGGGCGATCCACCTGTGCCATCACTGGACTCCAGCTGTCCTCCAGGTTGGGTGGCACAAACGGGACAGCTCCTCCTTTGCAACCTGGCCTGGTGCTCCAGGGGAATGAGAGGAATGCATCCCCTGGTGTGGAAGAAGGAAGAAACTGGCTGGCAGGTGTCCGACTAGTCCAGGAGCAGCCTTGGGTGGTATTGTTGGCCCAGCAGGGCAGGAGGCCTTTTACGCTGCCCCAAAAGCACAATGGTAATTAGCAGTCCAGCTTGGATTTTGTGTGAGCTGTGTGGGTCTGCTGGGTCCCTCCTTTCTGCTGGCAAGGAACTGAACAAGTAGCCCAGTGCTTTGTCTGCTGTCTGCCAATGGGGGAAGGGGCTGAAGAGGCAAGAAAGTAGGTTTAGAAAAGAGAGAGGGTGGGGAGGAAGCAGTTGTTGTGGAGCCAGCTGTGATGGGGGTGTATTTTGTAAATCAAAGCTCTCTTCTAAAAAGAAAACTTAAGCCGGGCAGATCTACTCAGCGGTCAAGCTCTGATTCTTTTTCCTCAGAGCTACGTGATAATCGTTAAACACAGGGGATGCTTTGTAAAATAGAATTGAAGGGAAGGAGGGAGAATGGAGCAGGATTTAAATTTAAAATTGGATGAGGGTACAAAGCCCCTTAGTTCCCCATTTCTGCTTAATGCAGCTGGAGCTGGACTCGACAAGATGCTTAGCAGAACTTGTGGTAAATGTTTTACAGTACCGTGTATCAGCCAGATCAATTCTACTATGCTTGAGGGAGTGCAGATAAAATGGCTTAAAGATTCCCCTGCTGAAAGCGATAGTATCATCATTTATGGTGGAGAAGGCAGATTTAGTTGCCTGACATTTATTTGGCCACGGCGTACTTTGCGGATTTCACACCCGGGGATGATAGCCAACCTGATGATGTCAGATACGAGCTGCAGGAAAGAATCCCACACAAAGCTAGCGCTGTTCCTCTTTCGTGGACCAGATGAGTTTTGCTGTGTGTCTGTTCTGCTTCCTTTACTCCACAGACCTCTTTTATGAAAACGTATTAGCAGAGCAGGACATCACTAAAGCAACGTGTCTCGCATGCGCTTCTTGCTATGAAGAAGACAGCAGAAATACACCCATTAACCTCAGATCTTTTCTTTCGATCCCGCTTGTTCCGTAGGTCACTCGAAACCTGAAGTAAGCAAGCATGAATGCACTTGATTTGACTTCAATCTTTGATTTTCTGGAAAAGGCCAACTTAACGGAGATCAACTGGATGTGCAACAACAGCGACTGCATCACAGTCGATGCGACGGCATGCCCCGGCACGCTCAACAAAAGTGCCCTGCTCTACACCCTGTCCTTCTTCTGCATCTTTATCTTTGTCATAGGGCTGGTGGCCAACTCCGTTGTGGTGTGGGTCAATCTCCAAGCCAAAATGACTGGCTATGAAACCCACCTCTACATCTTCAACCTGGCCGTCGCCGATCTGTGCGTTGTCATCACGCTTCCTGTTTGGGTTGTCTCCCTCGTCCAACATAACCAGTGGCACATGGGAGAAATCACGTGCAAAATAACTCACCTTATATTTTCCATCAACTTGTACGGCAGCATCTTCTTCCTGGCATGCATGAGCGTGGACCGCTACCTCTCAGTTGCCTATTTCACCAATTCTAGTAACCGCAAGAAGAAGATAATCCGCCGCTGCATCTGCATCCTGGTGTGGCTTCTTGCCTTTTCTGCATCTCTGCCAGACACCTATTTCCTTAAAACAGTCTCTACCAGCAATGAAACCTACTGCCGTCCCTTGTATCCCGAGGAGAGCTTCAAAGAGTGGTTGATCGGCATGGAGCTCATCTCTGTCGTTTTGGGCTTCCTTATCCCTTTTCCAGTCATTGCTCTCTTTTACTTCCTCCTTGCGAAGGCCATCTCTGCCTCCAGCGACCAAGAGAGGAAGAGCAGTGGGAAGATCATTTTCTCCTATGTGGTGGTGTTTCTTGTCTGCTGGCTACCCTACCATACAACTGTCCTTCTCGACATCTTCTACAGTCTTCATTTCATACCCTTCAGTTGTCAAATGGAGAACTTCTTGTACGCCACGCTTCACATCACTCAGTGTTTCTCTCTAGTCCATTGCTGCGTCAACCCCATCCTCTATAGCTTCATTAATCGCAATTACAGATACGAGCTCATGAAAGCCTTTATTTTCAAGTACTCTGCCAAAACTGGTCTCACTAAGCTTATTGACGCTTCCAGAGTGTCAGAAGCCGAGTATTCTGCTCTGGAGCAAAATACCAAATGACTGCAACTCCGGCAAGAACCCTCCTGGACTCTCTGACTTTTTTTTCCCCCCCCTTTCCTTATGCTTGTTATGAACGGGGCATGAATTACAGCCTACAAAAGAGAAATAGCAAACTGTAATTTAAGAGTAGAATCAGGCACAATATGGAAGTGGTACCAAAACTAAGCGTTTTGTTTGTGTGTTTTGTTTGATCTCCTCCTAGCCCAGTCTGGACTTCTTGACAATGCTATGCAAATGGAACCGACTTCCTAGCAGACAAAGCCATTGAGTACCATAGATAACATTCATTTTCAGGATAAGCTTTTTCCTTCCACGTGTAGATTCCCTCTTGTCTCATTGTATATGTTATTATATATAGTGTGTTGTATTTAAAAGCTCGAGACTTTATTTTCTGGCTATCGGTGTACCTTATACAATTGTATTTGAAAATGAAATATATTTTTATCATGTATTTGAAGTATATTGCTGTTGAGTGTATCCAGAGTGCTGTAGTCTGAGTGTTAGGCTGCCATTTGGTTTTAACTGTCCTTGCTAAGAGGATGACAATAAAAGGCAGTATGGCAATGATCTCTGATGTGCATCCTTGCTGGCTGGCACGGTTCACTGACCATAGCTTTACGTGGTGGTCATAGCCATGTCTCTGGAGCATGAAATGTATGTGCTGTAATATAGCTACCATCATGTTAAAATTAACAGTATTGTAAGAGTTGTTAACTCTTATGCCCGGACTTCACAAACCTGTATCTTTATGCACAGAATGAATGATCTTGCTTCTGAGAGTTGTCTCTATTTGTAAGTTATTT